GGGAGGGATGGGTGGCTGGGTGATAGACATTGGGGAAGCTATGTGCGATGGTGAATGCTGTGAATTGTGCAAGACTGTTGAATCACAGATCTGTACCTCTGAAACAAATAATACAATATATGTTAAAAAAAAAAAGAAAGAAAAAGATAGCAGGAGGGGAAGAATGAAGGGGGGGAAATCGGAGGGGGAGACGAACCATGAGAGACTTTTTTTTTTTTTAAAGTGACTGATCCGTTTTATTGAACCCAAAGTTCCAATCACTGCCTGAGCATCCCATCTGCCCCATGCAGTGGGTACCTTGACAGTGCTGAGGTCCATGGGGTGCTTAATGATGTCATGGTAGTCATGCAGGCCAAGAGCAGAAGCGTCCACTGGTTTATAAAAAGGCCAGGCATAGGCAGCATGCTTCTTAGAGAGCAACTCTTTCAAAATGCCATTGCAATGTTTTAACTGTTCTGACAACTTTCCTTTCTTGGAGCTCTGGTGTTGTTGCTGAGAGTCAGGCAAGTCTTTGCGTGGGGGCTTGATTGGGCGGCCACTCTCTCTACGCATAGGGGGAAGACGTGCTGCCTTGGGCTCAAGACTCCCGGGGGGCTAGCTGCAGAACCGGGAGCCAGGATGGCCATAGGGGTAGGTGTGGTAGTATCTGCTTTCCGCTTTACGCCTTTTTTCTTCGTAAGGGGCTGGGCTGGGGGAGCTGCAGACACAGCAAGGAGCGGGGGTCCAGCAGAGCGTAAGGACTTGAGAAGGGGAGAAGAGATGACTGACGGGTGGGGAATGTTGAGGACAGTGGTAGGTATCTCAGGTGGTGGAGTATACAGGGCTGTATGAGACAGAAGAAACTGCAGGCACCTGATGGGCACTGGTGATGCTGCCCTGGAGTGCTGCCAATTTGGCCCCCTTCTTGTGGCTATTCTTAGGGATGGTCACCACAAGCTCTTGTTCCTCTTGTGGCATTGATGCCACTTTCTGTAGGAAGATCTTTTCCAACGTTTGTGCCATTAGGACAATATCATCAGTGGGCTTGTTGTAGATATAACAATTGGTAAACATAGTGTTGAAATCCTGCATACACTCTGAGGCAGCCCAATAATAGTTGTTTTCAAGTCTCCTCTTAATAGTACCCATGTCCATAGGCTGTTTTATAATCTTGTGATAATCCGGCAGACCCAGTTTGACGGCATCCACAGGCTGCCTGGAGGGCCACGCAAACTGATGTTTCCACAGAGCCTTCATCACCACCACCATGGACTCTGAAAAACAAACTGAGGGTTCTAGAGGGGAGGAGGACGGGTTAGTCCGGTGATGGGTATTAAGGAAGGCACGTTCTGCATGGAGCACTGGGTGTTATACACAAACAATGAATCATGGGACGCTACATCAAAAACTAATGATGTAATGTGTGGCGATTAACATAACAATAAAAAATTTTTTTTTAAAAAGTATGCATTACTGGTCTCTTGAAACACATTGCCAGCTAATATCACAACATCTTCCCCTAGTTATTAGCTTTTAAATGTTTCCTTTTTTTTTTCTATGAACTCAAAACCAAATCTAATAAACATTTGGTTTCAAGCAAAGAATAAAGAATTAAGTAGTGAACTAAAAGTTACAAATTAAAATTAAGAGTGATACCAATGTGGACAAAAAGAAAACTTTAATTGATAGATACATAACCTCTGGGCTTTCAAAGAACTCCAGTCAGTCAGCATGACACATATATAAGTTTTATAAACATAATTTCTTTTTATTTTACTACATAGTAGCATTAGGATATACTTTCTTGACTGTAATAATTGCTTGCAGTTAATTACAAATGAAACAGAAGTGCTGGTAATATTGGAGACTTGTACTCTGCATAAAACTGGAAATTACTGCTATTACTCTTGGTTGCTAGAGAATATTAGGTCATAGATGCTAATTAGCAGTTCATAGCCCTCCTACAGGGGGGAAATCTCATTACTGCATGAAACTGTCTTGCTAGCCAAACGCACCACGCATGGCACTCTGACCATTTTTGTTTGTGCAATTAAAAGGTATAATAAAACTAAAGATTTGCTTTTTTTTTTTTTTGTGAGAAGGAAACCAAGAAAGCTAACCTACACAGTCTCGTATTTGTTCACTGCTTCTAGAAAAACAGTTGTATCACATTCTGAGCCTCATAGTCAATGTGCAGGGACTGGTTAAAAACAAAAAGACAGAAGTTTTAATCAACACAAGACAGAAAAAAGGTCTCCCACTGAATATCTGTTCCCAAAACAAAAAATTTAGAGAACAAAAGCATATGTGGGATGGGAGAGAAATGAGAATGATTCCAGGACTTTCCTGATGTGTAATTTATCATACAGTCACACACACACACACACACATACACACAACTAGCCCTAATAAAAGTTATACACACACCTGTATATAACCTTTTGAAGTCTGTTTATATATATGCACATGTATACATGCCCATATATATGAATATGTATGTATGTATATATATAGTCATTTGTATAGTCTTTTTTAATACAGCCAGATCCCTCAAACAGGAGACATTTCTTGGGCTTGTTCTGGATTTTTTTTTTCCTGAAGGGAACTTTTAATACTATGATTTATTAAAATATTTCCATCTCCCACAATACATAAATATTTTTACTAACCACATAATCATTTGGAGAAAGGGTGTATTCAAAGAAAGAGGAACATGTTAAAACTCTGATCTGAATTTACTTATTTCTACTAAGGCAAATGAATTTAGATGATGCATAAATCCTAACTGCTTAGTCAAATTAGGTTTTATATTGAAATATAAACTATACTTGTATTGAAAAAAAGAATATTAATTTTTTTATATTTCTATTTTGGGACACATGTGAATGCACACACACACACACACATGAAAACTAGTGGTCTAGAAAATTCCTTAATGAGTGAGACAAGAAACCTAGGAATAAATCAGAGCCACGGGAATATATGAGTTTTTTATGTTAAAGAAGACATATTCATTTCTTCTCAGTGTAATGACATATCCCACTATTAATTGGGCTCTTTTCTTTTCCCAGAAATGGTACATCCATTTTCACCTGTGGAAGTAAAATTAATTAAAGGAGCAATAACTTGCAAAAATTGGAAGAGTAAATCTTTCTTCTCTGTATGGCATCAGAGGGTCCATGTGATACGAAATGTCTTTGCCCTCCTACTAAGCTCTTGTCAAGCCTTAACATAGGCCTGCATCAGCTATAAATGAACTCCAAGTTCATTTAAACAAAGGAGAGAAAATTGAAAGTTTAGTAAGAAATAGTGGGGGAAACAGGCTAACTCAGAAGTTAGGAGGTAGAGAAGTGCTAACAGTGTCCTGTTTTAATTTACATACTTCAAGAGGATTAGCTTCCCTGCTTTCTTGAACTGAATCAGACCTACATTATGGATGGTCTCAGTTCCAAATACTCTGACCCCTTGCCTCCATGAAAGCACTCTACTTGTCCGACTACAGGCTACTGTTTTTACGCTCAAATGTATGACACCGTTGCCATGATACGTGTGGTACCTACAGACAAAATAATGGAACATTGATCTTTCCTTTTGTTTTATTTCACAGAAATACATGTTAATTGAAAAAAATCATTAAGAAATTCAGTGAAGATGAAAATTCTCAATTTCCATAACAGAAATAATTATCCAATATTTTATAAACATCTGTCTGCCTCTATCCATCTATCTTTCTAGCTAAAAACAACTATTGCAACACCTTATCTTTATAGGGTAATTTACAGTTCACAGGTACTTTCAAATTTTGATCCTCACAATAATTCTGGGAGGAAGAACCCTATAAGATTGTGTGTTGGTGTGTGTGTGTGTGTGTGTGTGTGCATATGTATGTGTGTATCTTATTTATCGTCTTACTCTACCAATTGTCCCACCTGTTCCATCTAAAGCAAAGGTTAATTACATTTCTGTGGAGCTATCCAGTGGAAGGCTACTTTTTTCCCACTAAATTATAACAGAGTAAATTAGAGGTTTTCAGAACTTCACGGTTTTGATTGATGAATTCATTAATTCACCTTTTCAAAGTGAGGACTCACGCTTTAAATATTTTATGTACAATTTGCATGTTGGCATTTTTTAAGGGCTTTTTTAAAAAGATTAGACAGTCCTCAAGACAAAAGTCAAGCAGTCACCTTGGAGGTATATGAGGGCAGCATTTTCTTTCCTGCCTTTCTGTGCCCTGAAAAAGAGTCTGTCCTGGTATCTCCAAAACTTCCTTATTTTATGACTTTGGGACAAGAACAACTATGTTTTATGAGATACTAGAGTTTCATTTCCCAAAGTGAAATTCTCTTTGTATCAGGGTAGATGTGGAGACTATTCGACAGAGGTTTGGCTGGCGGGTCACCCCACATAGCAACATTAGCTAATGCATGGTCATGGCATTGCCATTCTCTACATGAAACCTTTTCATCCAACTTTTATGCACTTAAACATATTCTATATCCAGTCATTGATGTATAGGCCTCTCCCCACCCTCCCAAGACAACTAAGCATGTGCCTGTAAACTCTGCTGAGAACAGACAGGGTCTTTCAGTCCATTGAGCACATTACTTCTGATTTAAGGACCCAAGCATCATCCAAATAGATAATATCACATCAGAAAAATGGATCCTATAAGCTGTATCCTTGTTTTTTCTCTCATCAAATCTTCCTGTGAAATATTACATTTCTTCCTGTCCCTCCCCCAACACTCTTTACCTTATTGTGGCTACTTTTGAGAATCAGTGAAGAAATAAAGGTATTTATAAAAGATGTGTTCAGTCTCCCTGTCCCCCATCCAGCTGATCATGATTAAGCTTGATTTTTAAAAAACAGAAATAAAAAGAGAGGGACAATCAATACGATTAAGTAATAGTAAATGACTGTTTACTCTTAACAAATAGTAAATAGCAAAATGCCTGCTTAGTCTCCCATCTAAAATCATATGAGGTAAACATAAATGGGTATGCAAGTACATATCTTGGAATATTGCAGGATAAGTCACATAAAGCAGGCTTTCTTTAAAAACATCTCAACAATAAAAGAGGAGTATATGTTTAATGCCCCACCTGCTTAATGCAACCTCAACCCACATTGGTTCACACATGCAGAATATTAAGCAGGGATCTAATATAATGACTGAGGATTTTCAAGACATTGAAGGAAGAATTGTTAATGATATATGGAGTTTCAACCTTATTAAAATCTGAGGCAATATTTATGCCTCTCCCTCTTGGTGAGTCCATCCTATTGCTGCACACAACAGCGTGTTCCTGGCCTCATTCTCAGTCCTTAATTTGTACTTGAAAAACATGTACGTGTTGAGCCAGATGCTCCCAGTGCCTAAGGTAACTCTGTGATAAATTAGGCACTTGAGAAAACAGGATTAACTCTTTCACTAAGAGTTCTGCATAGAGGCCCACTCCACTTTATATAAATGTGGGATCTGAAAATCTAGCTCTGTCAAAAAGACAATTAGAATTTACTATAGCTTCACATTCCGTGCAGCCTTTTTAATGCTTATAAAAATGCTCTTACTAACCAAAACTTCTTTCCAAATAACTCTTCAGGAATTTGTCTACTGGGTAAAGCTACATACTTCTAAAATGAAGAATATCCTCTAGTGTCCTGGGGTGGGGTGGGGGGAGGAACAACTGTATTTCCCAAATGAGCCCATCCTATTTTTAATCCATGATGTTAATAATATACATTCACAGATGAGGCATCAGGAGGCTGATCGCTAACTGTCAATGGAGTGTTCGGAGCAAAGTCTCACCTGCCTCACCCATAGGGCCTCTTTTATTTGAATTCAGAAAAACTAAATTACTGTGTTATTGAAAATGTTTCACTTCTACTTTTTCAAAGACGGGAGACGCTCTTTTCTTTCATGTTCTCTCTTTGGATCAAATGGCTGACTTGACAATGTCGGCCTCATGTAGACCTCATCTAAGCTGTTTGTAATCTTCAGTGTGTTTGAGTCACACTTCTAATACTCTAATTTTGGCAGCATACTTCAAGGGATTAAGAGGCTCAAAACAACAGTGAACAAATCAGCAGTAATTACAACACAATGGCCATTACAGCACAACAATATCACAGAGTGTCTTCAAAAGCATCCTAATTGCACACTTCATTTGGCTACCCTTTTGCATCATGCTGAGTTTTTGAGCAGGACCGTCTTTAGCCCTGACCATTTAAAATACTCATGAAGCCAAGTTCTTTCAAGCCCCAGC